GTGGTGCTGGGGGATTGAACCGCGGTCCCTGATGCTTTGCCAAGCTTGTTCTAAGTAGGTGCCTTAGACCACTGAGCCATCTCTCCAGCCCCCCCATTTTAGTTCTGATGCTGTTATTTATTCCTTTCCTGGTATGTGGGTTTTTTGTTTGTTTCGCTGGTTGGCTTTTGTTTTTTGTATATTTTAGGGAAGGGTCTACAGGGTGTTCAGGGCCTCACTACTAGATTGGACTTGTACTGATCTGCCTGTTTACAGCCTCCCAAGAGCTGGGATTACAGGTGCATGCCACCACACCCAGTTTCCATTGCTGTCTCAACACACCCTGGGGGTGGCGCCAGCATGACAGGTGTTTTTATTTTCATTTTTTATTAAGACAGGGTCTTGCTATGTATTTTAGTGTGCCCTACAGGCGGGGCCTGCCGTGGCCCTGCACCTGCTTGCAGGGGCTTTAATCCACTGAGCTATTTGGCGGTGCTTAATCTGTTCTTAAACTCACTGTCGCGCAGGTGGCCTCAAACTCATGGTTATTCCTTGCCTCAGACTCCTGAATGCTGGGATCACTATGCCCAGATGTGTATCTCTTCTGTTTTGTTTGTAGTCTCTCCCTAGGAGTGTAATCACCCTTTCAGAATGCCTTTCTCTTCCCCTACTCTTTCTATTCTTTTTACCTCCCTCTTTTCTCTGTTCCCTCCCTTGTTTTATCTTCTTCATCTGTCTCAATCTGTCTTCTCTTGCTGTAACTGAATACCACAAACTGGGCAATTTGTTTTTTTTTTTTTTTCCTTCCTCGAATGCCTTCAGGGCACTTTTGGCCAGCGGGAGAGTTGTGAGGTTCGAACTCCAGCTACCTGAGGCTGACAGCTTTGTGGAAGCAGCCACTTAAAGGACTGAGCTAGGGCCAGGCCCCCAAACTGGGCAATTTGTGAAGAAATGTATTTCTTATAGTTCTGGAGCTTGGAAAACCCAAGATTGAGGGGCTTTTGGTGAGGACAGAGTGCAGAGGGTGCCAGTTAGTGCAGCCCTCCTGTCCCGATAGAGCTGTTCCTGAAATCACGGCCCACCTCCATGGCCCCATTTAACCTGATCACGTCCCAAAGACCCCGCTTCTAAATACATTTAAATATGATTTTGGTAATTAAACATCTGATCCATGACATTTGGGGGGTATGCTGAGACTGTAGCACCCTCCCAGAATGAGTTAACATAGCAAGACTCCCCAGCTGAGTGAACCCTCTCTGTGCTCTATTTCCAGTAGAGCTCTAGGTCTGTTCTAGCTCCCTGCCCTGTGACCTGAACATGTCAGGCACTTTATCTATGGCCATGTGGAAGATTTGTGGAGATGGGAACTCAGCCAGGCTTTCCCCTGGTCTCTGCTCTTACTAGAATCTACTCCCGGAAGGCCCGTCCTACTGAGATGCTCTGTCCCATTCTCACTGGCTTCATACTTTGCTGCCCACATCCATACCAGTCGGCATTGATCACCAGCCACTATATGACACCACCTTTTCTAAAGCTTCAGTCTTCTCTCTCTTTCAACCACTAGTGTTCTCTTCAGGGACTGTCCACTTATATGTACTCTGCTCCTTGAAGTTTGTGTCTAGATCTGTGGGCTGTCAGCAGTGGCCCTTGTCTCCCAGCTCAGCTCCACCCACACTACCCGCTTTGGTTAGAAAACCCTGAGCCACTTACGTGCTGAACAGTGGCTGTGCACAGCAGCCATACTTTGCTGCCCAAGACACAGTGTCCTAATCACACGGCACTAACCCAAGCCCAGCCTGTGCAGCAAACTCCTCACGGGCACTGCTGCACTCTAGGCCTTTTTTCTTTTTATGTTTATTTTAATTTTTTTGGCGGAACCGGGGATTGAATTCAGCCCTTTGCGCTTGCCAGGCAAGCACTTATTCTACTGAGCCATCTCCCCGGCCCACTAGGGCTTTTTTCTACATTGTTTTGTGTTAGTCTCTTCATTACTTTTCCTCCAGATACTTAGAAGTTAATCATTCTCATGAGAGTCCTTAGAGAAGGTATGCCGCTGTCAGGGTGTGACCATTGCTAATCAGGTGTGTTTGATGCAGGTGATTGTGTTCCTGAGGAAGAAGGACAGGTTCATCAGCCAGGTGCTGAAGCACATGGGCACCTCAGCGCTCATGGATCTGTTGCTGCGCCTCGTCAGCTGTGTGGAGCCTTTGGGGCTCAGGCAGGAGGTCCTACATGTGAGTGCCGAAGCTTTACTGTCTCATTCTCTGCAGGGGCCAGGTCCCAGCTCCTTGACAGGTGTCATCACCAGGGTTCCCTTCCGCACAGTGTCCTATGTGAGCCCACATACTGGTGCCTCTTCCACTAACATTCTCTAGCCTCCTGCTGCATATAAAGTAGAAGCAAACTTCTCATCTCCTGTCCTTTCTCCCGAGGCACCCACCAGGTCTTAGAGGATCAGGTGTTCATTATCTAACACAGGCAGATGGTGTAGAAAACAAGCTGATAGTGGCTCCACAGGAAGGCCATCATTCATCCTAGAGTGTGGATGTCTTCAGGGTTAGAGGACAAGCCTGTAGACTCTGGAAAAAAGAACGGTTCCTAGCTCCTTGAGGGTGCACTTATGCTCCCTGTCATTTTGCAGGCTTTGTGCTACAATTTGAATTAAAATTACAAGCTGTTGGGACTTTGCTCTTTTTATTGTCAAGTGTCATAAGTGGTTACTCTCACTCTTGGAATGATAATTTCCCCATGGTGCTAACATTTATAGCACACAGCATACATATCAGCTGCTGTTAGTAACTGCTGCTATGCAGCCTTTTACTTGCATAACTTTATTCAGTTTTCAGGGCAGCCCTGTGGGTCAGTTTCTCACCCTCAGATCAGTCTTGAGATGCCGGGCACCAAGTGCACCTGAGGAGCTGGTCTGCCACCTCTGCTGTGCCCTGACTTGATCACACTGGGCCCTCACTGCCTCTGACCTTGAAGAGTGTCAGCTTTGGCTTTTATTGCGGTATAGCTACCCCAGAGACTTTCTGCTCTTCCTGATCCTCCGAAGCCCCTGCTACGGCAGCATATTTGGTTTCCATGTTCAGCTCAGCAACAGTGCTCATTGCTTTGGGTCCATATCTGCACCCTGAGCTTCTGAGATGTGTCCCAAAGTGTGTGTTGTGCACCATTAAGATGAACAGTGGTCCACACACTTAAACACTTTAAGCCAGTCTTAAGAGTTCACTGACTGTTTTCCCCTTGGCTCTTTCTGGGCAAAGAAGAACCTGTCCTAGGAAACCTGGGTGTGTGGGTTTTTTCTACATGAAAGGAACTTTTCTATTTATAGGCCCTTCCCCCCCCCCTTTTCAGTGGCTTAATGAAGAGAAAGTCATCCAGAAACTTGTGGAATTGATCCATCCACGTCAGGATGAAGATGTGAGTCTCACAGAGTCCATATTCTTGCATGAAACCCTGTGCTTGGGTTGACAGAGCACTTGTTGCTGCTGGGCTGGGGATGGGAGGCTAGTTGCCCCTCTGTTCTCTGAGGACCAGTTAGGTACATCTTTTCTTTTAATCAAGTTCTAACATCTTGACAGGTGTTTGTTTTCTACTAAAAATTAATGGAGGGCCGGGGAGATAACTCAGTGGTCTAAGAGCCTGCCTAGCAATACCAAGGACCCAGGTTTGATCCCTGGTACCACATGCCACGCCAGCCCCACCCCAGGCCTGCCAAGGTGGCCATTGAAACCAGGCATAGTGCACGCCTGTAATCCCAGTGCCAGGGAGGCTGAAACGTGAGTCTGAGCTGTGTAGCATAGCAAGACCCTGTACCAAATACAAACATTTAAATAAATAAATATTAATGGATAACAGAACTGAGGGTATAGCCCAGTGGTAGAGTACTTGCTAGTGTATACAGGGTCCTAGGTTTGATTTCTAGTACTCTAAGTAGATATTAAAGCAGTATGTGATTTCAGCGTGCCTAGTGATCACTTGACTTTTTGGATGAGATCAAATATAATGTGACTAGTGAGGTCTAACCAGCCCAACCATAAAATTATAACACAGGTGTATTAAAAAAATTAGGGGGCAGGGAGGTGGCTCAGTGGAATAAGCACTTCCCTGGCAAGTACAAGGGCCTGAGTTCAATCCCTGGTTCCATCAAAAAAAAAAAAAAAAATTAATACAGAGCTGAGGAGATAGCTCATTGGTCTGAGCGCCTGCCTGGCAAGTGTGAGGACCCAAGTTCAATCCCTGGTCCCAAGTATGGTGGCACATACCTATAATCCCAGCACTGGGAAGGCTGAGACAGGAGGATCGCTATAAGTCTGAACTGCATAGCAAGTCCCTGTATAAAAAAAAATTTAAAATTAAAAAGATATTTTTAAAAAATACATATGTATTATAAATACAGTCTGTTTGGTCATGGTGGTGCACTCCTATTACTCTAGAGCTCAGGAGACAGACGGGAGGATCCTTGCAAGTTCAAGGCCAGCCTGCACTAGTGAGATCAAGACCAGCCTGCACTATAGAGCAAGACCCTGTCTCAAAAGGCCAAAAACCCCAAACAACCCCGGAAGTCTTAACAGCCACGTTTAGGCTCCATCCAAGCAACTTAGTGATGTAGTGAGACCCTGTCTTAGAATAAAAAATAAGAAGTTAAAGATCAGTGCAGAGGACCTGGGTTCAGTCCCAGTACTTCCTAAAAGAAATCCTGAGCATGGATTGCCTAAACAAATCCTTAAAAGTTCTAGCAGTTTCTGTGGTTAAGGATCTAGCCTAGTGGTTCCTTTGCTAAAGGTCTCTCACAAGGCTGCAGGGCTTAACTTAAGGAAGCTCCACCTCCACACTACAGCGGCTTGACAGCATTCAGTTCAGAGGCTTGCAGCCCAGGCTGTCCTCAGCCCTGCACCATGTAGGCCTGTCGTAGGGCAGAACTCTTACGCAGAGGCATCTGACTTCATGGAGTAAGCTGGGCCTAAGACAAGTCTACCTCAAAAAGTGGCAGCTCTTACTTGAGCTGCATTCTGCTTTTTTTTTTTTTAAAGGCAGTCTCATTGTATAGCTCAGGCTGTCATGAAACTCTCTATGTAGCCCAGGCTGATCTTGAACTCACGACAGTACTCCTGTCTGTCTTCCAGGGCTGAGATTACAGGTGTTTGCCACCACCACCAGCCATTCTGCTCTTTAGACTTGAATGAGGTGAGCCTACACAAAGAGCAGTTTGCAAGGGCATGGCTTTCCTAAGGGGATAGCTGGGGCCTCCTGGAAATTTCCTACTCTAATTCCAGAAACTTATGGGTGATCTGTAGCTATGGAAGGAAAAGCCAGCTCCAACTCAGGGTCCCCTGCTGAGCCATCACGACACAGGTCACTCTGCATGCCAGATGTCAAAGAGTTCTCTCATACACCAAGAAAGCTCAGCTTTCCAGTGGACCCTATCTTGCTCTCCTCTGATTCATTTCGGTTCTGAGTCTCTATTTGGAGTTTGCTTCAAACCCTGCATGTGGAGGTTTGCATCACCAGTACTGCTCCCTCACTTCTGATGCCAGTTATAAGCTTCAAGTTGTCTTTCTTGTGCTTCTGACTGACTGACTGTAAATCAGGCTTCCTGTAGTCTTCTCCTTGGGTTTGATTAAATTGCTTGAGAGGCCCGAAGAACATGGGGAAACACATTTTCTGGTTTATTATAAAGGTTAATGCAAAGGATACAGATGAGGAGGTGCATAGGACAGGGTACTGAGAGGATTCAGAGGCACTGCCCCCCCCCCAGGTGTGTACCCACAGGAACTTCCACCTGCTTCAGAAGCTACCCAAACCCAGGCGTTTGGGTTTTCTTTTTTTCTTTCTTTCTTTTCTTTT